GGGCACAATACACTGTACACTGTTGCCTCACAGGGCTATTGTGAGGATCTGTGTTACACATGTGAAAGGACAATAGGAAATCATAAAGTACCTTGCAAAAGGAGATTCTAGTTCTGGGTGGCACTAACGAAAACAAAAATGCATACAGACGTTACCGTCAGGCCTAAAGAAGGGACCATAACAAGGAACTAAAAAGTTTAAGAAAGAAAGAAAGAAAAAAAAGGCAGGCGAGACTCAAGAGGGGAAATTAATGTGAGATTTTACTTGGCTGAGAGGAACAAGGAGCTCTGCAATCTTTAAAGGTGCAGCTCAGCCGGGCTCGGTGACTCAGCCTGTAATCCCGTGCCTTTGGGAGGCTGAGGTGAGTGGATTGCCTGAGCCCGCAGGTTTGAGACCGGCCTGGGCAGCGAGACCTCATCTCTACAATAAAGCAAAAAAAAAAATCAGCCGGGCATGGTAGCACGCGCCTGAAATTCCGGCTACTTGGAAGGCTGAGGCGGAAAGATCGCCGGAGCCCAGCAGGTCGAGGTTGCGGTGGCCGGGAGCGGCCACTGCACTCCAGTCTGGGTGACAGAGTGAGACTCCAACTCAAAAAAAAAAAAGGTGCAGCTCAGGAGGTTGGGGCACTCAAGGCTGCCCATTGTGAGAAATAGGGTGACCTGAAAAATATTCCATGTAGGCCTAAAGATACTCCTGTTGAGAAGTCAGACTTCCTAATAGATGCTTCTCCTAAGGTTAAATTGCCATCTATTAGCTAGCCTCTGCAATTCCTGTCTTCATCAGAGTCATAAACCCTAGTGTTTCAACTGAAGCAGAGACAAATTCAACACATTCAAAGATGTTTATTTATGCCCCCACTCTAATTCATGTTGAAGGGAAGGTTGAAATCTTAACCGTTTGTACCTTAGAATGTGACTGCATTTGGAATTATGGCATTAAAAGAATTAAATTTTTTAACCAATAAAAAAACTTTAATGCAAATAAAAGAATTAAATTAAAATGAGGTCATTAGGGTGGGACCTAATCCAATATGACTAGTGTCCTTGTAAGAAGAAGAGATTAGGTAGAGAGGGAAAACCATGTAAAGACAGGGAGAAAGTGGCCATCTGCAATTCAAGGAGAGAAGCCTCAGAAAAAACAAACCCTGCCAACACCTTGTTCTTGGATTTCCAGTCTCAAGAACTGTGAGAAAATATTTTTCTGTTGTTTAGGCCACCCAATTTGTGGCACTTAGTTATGAAAGTGCTAGCAAACTAATACACTGTCCTACAACAATTAGCTGACACAGAATAAGAGGAGATAAACATCTGGTAAGAGATAACGGAAACAGAAAATGAGTTTCTTTCTAGAAATAAAAACCAAACACTGAAGTTAAAAGGTAGTTAGTGGCTCCTTCTCTTTACTTCCAAAACAATTTGACCAGATTTGTGGTGACACTCAGGCCATTCCACTTAGCTGCTGCTCAATTTGTCTTTTCCCAAAAGATTCTAAGTTCCTCCAGGGCAGGCTGTATTGACAGCCAATGTAGCTTCTCCGCCATTAGAGATGGCACTCAGTACATGGCACTCAGTACACAATAGAAACTATATATTCATATGTTGTTTTTACTGTTGCTGAACAAACAAGAACAAAAAGGTTCAACTGAGAAACTGAAGAGATTTTTCCCCTGCATTTTTAACCAGACTTAATTTAGACAACAGAGCAAAGATTTGAACTGATTCAAGTATCCCCCAAACTGTTCACTTATCCCTACTCAAGCCAAGGCACCATGGGAGAAGGCAGCCAAATGGGACCATTTCATGCTGCTATCCTGGAAATGAATTTTTACTTCATATATTGCCACTATGTTCTTCTAAAACCTCCTTTGGATCCATTATGCCATCTGTGTACATTCTGGAGCAGTTACAATAATAATGCCAAAGTCCCACAGAAATAAGATTTTTAAAATGTTATGTAGTTAGAGTGAATATGCAGTAAACACTTCACCAAAGTGAATAACAGTCCTTTACCATTTTAAAGGAAAGGGAAAAGTACCAAATGGGGTTAATTCACATTATGGACTAATGGCCTGTAAACTTTCGTTTGAAAGCAAAGCACAGAAAAAGCTTTGACAAGAGCTACTTTTCGCTGTAAAAATAAACCTCTTTCAAATAATTTATACATGTTTTTCCAAGTCAAATTGCCAAGTTTCAAACAAAAATTAAAACCACCATCCAGCTACAACCCTTAAAATATGGGCTTTATAATGGAAATGGTAAAACAATCTTGGTGAAGGAAATGTTGCTAGGTACTGACAGTAAAGTGGTCTACAGTAAATACCTCACACACCAGTTTCAGGGCACTTGCTGACAGATGATACTTAGACTTCATTCTCAATAACATAACTGCGTGTAACGACTGTCATTTTTCACAGGACTTTTGATGTTAACATCTACTGGAGTTCTGGCCTTGGTCCAAATTGAATAAATATATTTGCCCTTTGATTCCCATAGATTTTAAATTTATTTTTATAGCAGGTCTCCCTTAAACAGCAAATCAGAAGAGATAATTTCACTCCAACTGATAAAATGAGAAGTGCATTTTATACATGTTACATTATTTTACATTTATGGAATTTTCCCCTATAGCTGTTCTCTTCTGTATTATAAGAATATTCTTGTTCCCAAATTGTTCCCTATGGACAATGACTTGCATTCAATTCTCTTTTACTTAGTAATCATCCAACTGGTTTGTTTAGAGTGCCCAGGACAGGGGTTCTCAAACTTGGCTGCATATAAAAATTATCTGGGGGATTTTCTAAAAAGTATAGCTTCCTAAGCTCTATGCCACATCTTCTGAATTAGAAGATCCGTGGATTTGGATTTTTAATATACCTCAGTTGACGCTTAGGAGAGGGCTTATCAGATGTCATGTATTAGGAAACCTCTGTTTCTGGACCACTGGTAAGCATGACCTAGAATTTTGGTTTATATTCCACCACTAACAAATACCCTAATGCCACTTAGTATTACTGCATGATTTGAAAATGCCCCACGCATGTAAATTCCAGCTAATTTACTCATTCCCAAACTGTAATTTAGGAATAATAAACAGAAGGAAGCTCAAAGAAAAATAATTTCAATAGGTAAAATTCAATAAATAAGACCAAAAAGCTCTTGCAACATTCATGAAGTTCCTTTTGTCAGACACATACATGTACTCTTCTCATTTTATTTTCTTTAGTCTTCTGACATGTAAAAGAACCCATCAATAATTCACTTAGTGACATTTTTAGAGTACTTCTTAGGTGCAAACAACAAAAGAATGTGACAATTCTTAAGCTTGTTAAATGGGACTACAGTAAACTGAGTGCATAGATCCTGTCAGTACTTCTCCCCTTTGGCCAAGCAAAAGGTTTCCAAGTGGCTACTTATTCTCTCTTTTCTGGGAGAGCAATGTGTACTCCTCCACAGTCTCTAAAAAGCTGGGCTAAAGTTTCTAGTGACTTTTCAGATCACTCGTCTACATGTCACTAAGAGTAATTGGACTTTTTGAAAACTGTTGATCATGAAAGACTGATTTAGCCTCTCAGATAAGAATTTTAGAGCTGTTTGGAAGATGATTCTATCCCCTCAGAGTCTAAGAACATCTAGGAAACAATCCAGAATGGCTAGGTTCAGAAAGAAGTTATGGGGGAGTAGGTTCTAATATAATAATACCCAGAAACAGGTAACAGACATGATAGAAACAATGTATTCATCAAAGAATTGGTACTTAATTTTCCCAACTCATAACCACCTTTAAGGGAAGGTCACTGGGGATGAAACAGAAACAGCTTTAAATGATATTACAAGTAAATATGGACTAGACATTAGCCATGACTCAAAGTTCGAAAACCTAGCTATTAATGGACATACACATTTTACTAATTCATGGAAAATATGCTGTGGCGATAGGTCAAGTCCTTGTTGAACAGCTAAATAAGATACTAATATCTGAACCAGCTTTTCCATCAGTCATAAAAATGTTTTATATCCAAGGACCACAAAACCAACTAAGGCAAGGCATTTAAAAAAAATAATTTCTAGCCTATCTTGTGGACAGAAAAACTGAAGTCAATTATGACTGGAATTGAAAACAGTGAGACCAAACCAAGGGCAGCATAAGGATTCTTATGCAAGGAAATCCAGCAATATTTGTAGGTTTTTATATGCCACTGACGTTGCCTCCAGCCCTAACACCGACCAACAAAACGTTGAATTGATATTCGCTGACAAACAACATAAATACTCTGTAGGTAACTAATAAGAAAAATGTGTAAATTTGCCTTTTTTATTTTTTACAGGTAATAGAAAAGTTGTCAATGTGATTTTCAGGTAGAAGAAAAAAACATGCACTTGTCATGACATTTTCAAATACTTTAAGTTACGTAACAAAGCTTTTCCCAGACCCATTAAGTCCCACAGTGCCTGCAAGTCTTGTATAAGGAAACGCCAGGTGCAGAGGGTTCCAGGCAGCACCTGATCATATGGGCTGAGGCGCCTATACACTCTCTTAGGATGGAGTCAATAAAAAAACTCCACCCCATCCCTCTCTTTCAAAATGAACCTAGGCTTTTAGTGAACAGCAGAGACATACTCCAGGTCTATTTTTTTTGTGGTAATACCTGGTTTTTGTAGTCCCAATAATCACGTTGCCTATGCTTACTTTATTACAATTACTAAACTCTATAGAAAATAGCATTTTCAAAATATAGCATTTAAAGAGTCCTTTTTGTACTGTTCCTCCCCCAAAGCCTTGCTTTAGTAGAGAACAATATGAGACAGGCTGTGGGGGCCAAAGCTGGGGATTCCTATGTCACCACCCCTCATGCAGGGGATCCCTGTGTTCACATAGACCCCCAGGGCCTGCTTCTGAGACAGCAATGGGATGCTGCGTGAACAGCCTGACACAGTAGGTCTGGCTTTTATGATGCAAATTTCCACTTTAAACTCAAAGGTAATTACAGTATTTTAACGTAC